TTAACACATTGCGGACGGCTCACGAGATATCTCGTTTTTAGCAAATTGAATGTTCCTGACGGGTCACGAGATATCTCGTTTTCATGTTTTTTTATTTAATCGGCAACAAGCAACCAGCCGCAAATATTTCTGTTACGTAACCATGGTATCGAAGCCTCCCGCATTCCTAAGTAATTTTAGCGAAACAAATGAATCATTCCAAGCATGTAGAAATGATCAGTCATTATAGCCACTCTAAATCAATATTTAAATTTGTATAATAAATAATAGTTAAAATGTAAAAAATCTTATATAATAAACAGATATATAAACTATGTATATATAGTATTATTTAAGAATACTAAATGCAAATTAAAAATGTGCGTAATCCGCTTCCTGTTACTTGCCAAGCATGTTTTTGGAGCGTTCGAAAATGTGCGGTTTTTGAGGGCGTGTTGAACGCGCAGAGCCCCGTCCGCAATGTGTTAACAATACGTATCGTTCTAACGTGGTCGCCTAGATTTGACATGAACAGTTAGCCTCCAACCAACTATTGATGCCAAACACTGATCCATTCGTTTCCGCACTTGGCTCGGTATTTGGCACCAATGGTCGATGCCAAATTCGTACCAAATTTCTTGCTGGGTTATTAATTACTATGTGTGGTTAGTGGATACCTTCTTTTTACGGGAAAGAATGACTGCTTCTGTTTTTACGGGATTGATTCTGATTTTCCATCTGTAGTTAGCATTCAGTGAGTGTATATTAGGTGATTTTCAGGTGTTGGCGGTACCTTCATATTAATTACAGTTTTTTTCCAAGGTTACCTGTCTCAAACCTCTGATTACGTTCTACATTTGATCTTCCAAGTATATCATCGTGTTTGAGAGAAAACAATGGATGAGCGGCGGCTGCCGGCTTACACACATGGTAACGTGTAATGCACGTATAGAGAGAATTCAATGTGGTAGTAACAACAGTTTTTCCCTAATACAGTAAATTATCCGTAATTAACGCTCAGATCGTGGACAAAAATGGACAATTTGAAAAAAGGAGATACGATTATTCGAGTCTTGCGGCTCGTTTTTATACATAGTTGTTGACAATCGATAACTATAAAGACGAGCCGCAAGGCTTGAATAATCGATCTTCCTAAATTGTCCATTTTTGTGTACAGCCTGAGCGTCAATTACGAAGAATTTACTGTATCTTGGTAATTAAGACCGAGCGGCACTAAATGGAAAAGTAAAAAGTTGTTCAGAATATCACCCTTTGTAACATATTTCAAGATCATTGAAATCGGTGGTAGCGTATATTTTCAACAACTTCAAAAAAGGAAATGAAGTTTTTACTATTCATTTAAAAACCCGACGTATGCACCAAGCAATATAAACATTTGTTAGATAAAATCAACATCCATTCGTTTTCTCACGTTAACATTCAGCTTAATCCTGTTCAACTTATCAAAACATATCCTACAAACATATACGATCGAAATATATCTCAATGTGCACTGAGTATCGTTCGCAAATACGATGGTCGAGAATATTATAAAGCGACAAGTACAAGTCGAATATCGCGCCATGTGTTTCACGTAGTGTCAAAGGTACGAATGCACGAAAAGAGAGAAACCGCAAGCACGGTAAAGTGAGATGGGTTAGGTTTCTCGTTTGTGTAGTTTCGTTCTGTCTCACTCGAGCTTCTCCCGTTTTCTTTCTAAAACAACTGCGCGAAGATGGATGCACAGTAAAATGGTGAAGATAAAAACGTTCTTGTGGATAGGGAGAAAATGGTTCTTGAATGTAAGGGTAGATAGGAACAGGGGCTACTGTACCTGTGCTCATGATAACTGCGTGATTGGATTTGGAAGAGAGCGATCTTTTCCTAGCGGTATAGGGATCTGTATCCCTCCTTGACTTCTTCGTTTGTTGATTCCATGGGCCTGGAGCTGGCGGAGGATCCATGAGTATTCGACTGTTCCAGGTTTCGCGTTTCAGCTACGATTTCTTGATGAGGTTGTGCTGGGCACTTCGATAATTTGTGCATATAATCTTGATCACTATTACGAGTGGTTTTTCACAGAGACTGGTTTTAAAAGAACCGATGTAAACTAAGGCTGAATACAACTGCCCCTGACTGAATGCAACCGAATGGATCAGGAGGGCTGAATGCAGTCGTATTCCTAGCAGTGTGCGCACCGTTGCCGTGAATTCACTCAAATGTCACGTGATTCCGTCCGTAACGTCACGGATGAGCAGTTCAGCAGAGTAGGGATAAAGGACAGCATACGCAACTGATACGACATGACCAATCTTAAACATGAAAGAAACCCTGCTGCCATCTAGCCTACTCTACTGAACTGCTTATCTGTGACATATAATGCGGCACGCAACGCGGCTTCTTTGACTTGAATTCTCAGAATGCCAACTCATAATACAATAACATAACTTTTTTAATTTGAACATTTTAAAATTGAATTTTTTTAAACATATTGCTAATAGTTTTCTTATTGAAATGAGACCAAACATGCTGTAGTTTGGACAGATGTTTCTGATAACATAAAATAAAATCAATCACAATATAACGGAATAAATATGGTTCAAAACATGTCGTGTTTGATCTCACTTTAATTGAAAGAATCTCACTAATATGTTGGGGCATCGTTTTTATTCTAGTATTATTGTGTATTTGTATTAATGTAAGTTTTGTCAAGGTTAGTACTCCGATTTTCGTTCTCTCTCTCTCTCTCTCTCTCTCTCTCTCTCTCTCTCTCTCTCTCTCTTACGAGATACCGGCAACTATAAAGGTAAGCCACAAGACTCGATGATTCATGACTGAATGAGTTGCTTCAGTTATCCATTTTCGATAACGAGCTGCGAGACTTCTAGGGATCATTTATTGTATTTAGCATGGACAAGACATTGGAAAACAGATGACTCGGTATTTGGCACAAATGTGTACTGTCAAATTCATAACAACTTCAGGACAAATTGCTTACTGGAAGGTTTCATCAATCTTTTGAACCGTTCGCATATGACGGATATAGTCTTTGAAGTGCCTCAAACAAACGTTACGATCTGCGAATGTTTCGATGAAATTAAAAAATTAGAGTCCACCAATGCTCATGACTCTGGTTACGAAGACTATGATTTTTCCTCAGCAATTTGTCCTCAATTCGACAGTACGCTTTTGTACCAAATACCAAACAATCTGTATCCGTATTCCGCAAAGATGTTGCCTCAACAACATTCATATCAAATGCGAACCAAACTCTCCTTTTAGCACTATCTTGGCACCGAATTGACACATTGGTAGAAGTAATTCATAACTCTTAATCTTATCTTTTTTACCATGCAATTGAAAGAATAAAACTGTTTTTTATTTTTACAATGGTTCCTTTAAAGGATTTTTGACCTGGAAAGAATTTCTGTATTTTTAGCTATGTTTCGTAATGGTATAGATAACTCGTCCAGTTTCATTTTTTCTAAACGGCAAAGGAGCACTTAGAAGTACATATTTTTTCGCGGTACTCTTTCGCAGAAATTCTCGCGTTTTTTAAATTTTTGTTTGTTTACATAGTGATAACGCTTGATTACGTGACTATGTCATCATCAAACTGCCATCTTATCTGACGTTCTTTAATCTACAGGTCTATGATTATTTATAAAAGGGCCACTCTAGATGAATTTATCGGCATTGTTCTCCGTGATCTATGAGTTGCTGGTGTGTCGGTGATTGTGAATTATCACGGTTATGTAAAAATATTTCTGTGTTTCGAGTAACAAAATTTTAAACATTGTCAAAATGACTCAGAACGTATCAATGATGAAGTTCAATAACGGTAACGAGGTACCGGCTTTAGGACTGGGTACATGGAAAGTAAGTTAATACCCCAGTCATCCAAACTGTTTCAACAGTTATTTCAATTTGGAGCAAAAATACTGCTTTTGGTTCGCATTTGATATGTATTTCGCTAAGTTATTTGGATATTAAGGTATTAAGGTATGTGGAAGCAGACGCTTTGCGTTGCCAAATCAAAGACAAACTTGACGTGATTTTGTAGCAAATCGTTTTGTTTGAAAAAGGCTGGTTGATAGCACTTAATATTTCTTATACTTAATAATACTTCCTATTTTTAGTCTAAACCTGATGAGGTTACACAAGCAGTCAAAGATGCCATTGATTTGGGATATCGTCATATTGACTGTGCCTATGCATATGGAAATGAGAAGGAAGTTGGTGCTGCCCTTGAAGCTAAGATAGCTGAAGGTGTTGTGAAAAGGCAGGATCTTTTTATAACAAGCAAATTATGGAATACGTTCCACAAACCAGAACTGGTTGAGCCAGCTATCAAAACTACCCTGTCCAATCTGGGTTTGGAATATTTGGATTTGTACCTGATTCATTCGCCAATAGCTTTCAAAGAAGGCGATGATCTCCGCCCAATGAATGCTGATGGTACTCCAGCCTTGAGCAATGTTGATTATCTAGATACGTGGAAGGCCATGGAAGGTTTGGTAACTGAGGGACTCACAAAGAACATTGGTATTAGCAACTTCAACTCTGAACAAGTGGAAAGAGTGCTAAAGAACTGTACCATCAAACCAGTTACAAATCAGGTGAGCATTAGTGCTTTTTGTATTATTTTCTGTAAGTAGTCATCTATGATGTGTATTTTATTATAGATCGAATGTCATCCCTATCTAACTCAGAAGAAGCTCTCTGCACTCTGTATGGAGAAAGGCATTCTTATCACAGCCTATAGTCCTCTTGGATGTCCCGACAGGCCATGGGCGAAACCTGATGATCCCAAACTGCTGGATGACAAAAAATTGGGTGAATTAGCGAAAAAATATAACAAAACACTTGCACAAGTTTTGATCAGATATCAGGTACATAAATATACTTATTTTTAATCAATCAGTCATATTCATTGAACTATGAATATTTATTTAAATAAACCTTTTGTAGTTGGACCGTGGACATATTGCAATCCCTAAGTCAGTTACAAAATCGCGAATCGCTGAGAACGCCGAGGTCTTTGATTTCAAGCTTACCCCTGAAGATATTGCATACATCGATACATTCGATTGTAATGGCAGGATCTGCTCAATAACTAAGTAAATATGTGTTAATTTTACAATTCTTACTTGCCATATCTCGATAAATTTATTTACGATTTTAGCGTAAAAATTAATTTCTTTTTCAGCTGGAAATCCAGCCCCCATTATCCCTTCCACATTCCTTTCTAAGAATGGAACCTAGTTAAAATAAGAATGTTTAAAGCGGGTATTGTTGCAAAATTTGCAAAGTTCTTCTGTACTAATTTTCTACGTGAAGTTCATATAAAATAAATATCATTTAAATATAAGTGTGCATGCATTTACTTTTATGGTACTAAATCTCTCTAGTAAAACTTACCACTAAATCCTGATATGATAAACGAGATTTATGATAAGTATTTTGACCAATAGTGTTGCTTTTGATCTTAGTGACGTGTTAGTTGTTTTCACAGTCGCAGGAATAATATTCGCAAAAATCATCGTCATTGTTGCTATCAGTACGTTGATGATTTTGTGGGATGGAGAATCCCTTCTGTCGATGCTTCGACCGTGACTGGTTTGTCGGATTTCTATAATGCAATTAAGTATTATTAAGTGACGATAATTAAGTAGAAGTGATTAATAGGTCAACTTAACATTTCCGTACACATTGTTTCCCTCAGTGGAAATTGTACTTGCTTCATCAGCTAAATTACGACCCCGAGTCGCCGGTATGTGGGAGGATCTTATCTCCGCAAAATAATTCATCGCAGATGATATAAATCTGCAGTTCCCTGAAGTCGAAGATGAGGACGCGATAAGGAAGGGGTCACGTTCAATAAAATGCCGTTGAAATCCAACGAATCAGGAATTACGGTTTCCTGAATTTGTTATGAATTTGACAACACGCATTTGTGCCAAATACTGAGCCACCTGTTTCCGCATATCGTACAGATTTGGTACCAACGCCTTGTCCATGCCAAATCCAGGCGAAATCTTATAGTATTACCACATCTGCCACACGAGTGCGACTGATCTGCCCTCTTAAAATGCCCATACCTCATACTTCAAAACCTCTCATACGTCTCTCTATAAGGTTTCATCTGTTTCCGTATACGGCAAGGATTTGGCATCAGTAAAATTCATGTTAAATGCAAACCAAACTCTTCTTTCAGCAAAGTCTTGGCACCAAATTCACATAAATTTCTTTACAAAGTACACTACCAAGCGTTTTATATGTATTTGATGGAAGCAAACTTGGCTAATTGGCTACTAATCAATAACAATATAATTTAGAGAATTTCACAAGTGCTATATACTTTTAAGTTTTATAAATTGATTTGTAGATTATACATATAAATACAAAATATTAACAAATGTTTTGAATTTATGAATAGTACAGTTATAATTCATAAATTTTATTACACAAAACTTGTACTTATAGTTCAAGAGGACTAGGCATTTGATCTGGTTTTCCTTTCAAAACTGCCAAAATATTTCTGGCAGTAATTCTTGACATTTCTTCCCGCGTTTCTGTGGTAGCACTACCAATATGAGGTAGTATTACTAAAATAAAGGTTTATTAAAATTTTTAGAATTAATCATAAATTATAAATATGTAACTATTTTATTTACCACAATTATTCAATTTTAATAGTTCACTGTCGAGTGGAATGGGCTCTGGAGTCATAACATCTAATCCAGCTGCTCCAATTGTTCCTTCTTTTAAAGCTTCTATCAAAGCAGACTGATCAACAACTTCTCCTCTACTAACATTAATAAATATAGCAGATCTTTTCATTTTACTAAATGTGCTTTTATTAAACATTTGTCGTGTTTCTGGTATTAATGCTGTCGTAACTATTACAAAATCACTTTTTTCAAGTAGTTCATTGAGTTCTACTTTTTCCCCTCCAAATTTAGATGCTTCTGGTTTAATAGTTCTACTTGTATATAATATTTTAGCAGTATTAAAGCTTTTGAGGATTTTTGCAACTTGTGTACCTATCCGACCTAATCCTACTATCCCAACTGTAGATCCAGATAATCCAGAACCACACATCCAAATAGGTGACCATGCTTCCCATTCTCCTCTACAAATAATATTTTAATTATTGTAGATTAATATCTAATTCATTTTTTATTATATTTTATTGCACATCCAGGGTGCCTACCTAAGATTGAGAACTTAAATATTTCAACCTGAAATTACTTTTGGTACTTGTAACATAAGAAGTAAGTACACATATTCTTCCAATATGCTATAAAATTTATATACAAGATAAATGTATGTTCTTTTCAAAACTATTAAAATCATGTTTATAACATTTCTTGCATGATTAAAAATAAAGGAGATATTTAGGTGCTCTAACTTAGTCAGTATACTCTGCATATTTGAATACATACGTGTAAGCAGCTTTGTATGCTTCCATTAATCTTCTAGAAGTAGCTAGCAATAATGCTACAGTTAATTCAGCTGTTGCATCTGTTAAAATTCCAGGAGTGTAACCAACTTTGATGTTTCTCTTTCTTAAAGCTTTTAAATCTAGGTGATCTAATCCAGCTGACATAGTGCCAATTACTTTTAATTGTGGTCCAGCAGCATCTAAGACTTCATCATCTATTTTGTCTGTCAGTACACAATAAACTCCATCAACATTTTGTATTTTCGACAGTAATACAGATCTAGGTATTGGTTTTGGTCTTTCCCATAGGACAATGTCACATCTACCATAAGGTGTAGAGAAATAAATAATTTTTATTTGATATAATGATATATACATATATTTGAAACAAAATTTACAAAATTTATCTCAAATATTTCTAAATTACATCTGTTATTGCACTACAAGTGCACATGATAGAATTGAAAACATATGATATTGCTTGAAAGTAAAGAAATGGATGCTTGCAGTTTAATTATTTTTTAAACTATTTAGAAGGTACTTACTCCTCTTTTAATAAATTAAATCCAGGACGCGGAATATCTGAGCGAGTAATTAAAACTTTTGGTCGACTCATTTTCGTTACGCCAACTGTAAAGAGTTTTAGGTTGTATCGCAGCGACAACGTGTAAGTGATTGAGAATAGATTAGGCTTTGGAAATGGTTTAGTAATTCGAATGAAACTTAGCAACATATTGTTCTGATTATATGCGGGCTATGTAACTATAAAATTATTTTTTATTTACATATTTTACTATACATGATTACGTATTGACGATAACGATATAACCTCTCAGTTATTTCAATACCTTTATTGATAATATGTAGTTCATGTTAAAATTAAGAAAAGAATATAATACATATGTGTGTGTATGATATATTATATAATTGTACAATTGCTTTCTTGAAAAGAAACTATTGCTAAATTAATCTACAATATTTATAATAAATACATTTACGTTTTCTGTTATATTATCTTAATTTAATACTTTTTAGTCAATGCAATTAATTTTTGTTTGTTAAAATGAAATATCAAGGGAAATTTGAAGATCATACTACTTTTAATTAGCAAGGCTACACAGTACATGAATGCTAATATAATCAGCAACTTGTTTCAAATTTTTGAAATTCACATTATTTGACTATTAATTTGTTATAAAAATATAACAATGACATATTGTTGTAATTATTTCTTCATTTTGATACCTAAAAAGATAATCGAAGAGCAGAAAAATATATTATACCTAAATTTACAAAGGAAGAAAAATGGATAAAAAACTTCTTTTGAAATGGTACGACGCATACGCGGAAGTCCCGCGTTTACTGGGTGAACATTATAATTCTGAACTACGACGTGACGTGACATAAGGCCTTTGTCTGATGTAGTTCAAAATTGTAACGTTTCCCGCAACGCGCTGCTATGCGGGAATCCCACAATTCTGCGTAACCTTTTTTCGTGATATCATACATATAAAGTATGTTCGAGATACAAATGTTTATTCTATACGTTTTATTAAAGTAATACAATAAATTATGGAATTATAATTGCATACAACTTCTAAAACGCAATAACTTTTTTAAAACTGGACTAAGTGATTTGAATTTTTTTTAGGTGATAGAGGGGCTAATCTATATTAGACGATGACTAAAATACCTTTTTTTTATTTTGCTATTACTTGGGATGACAAAGAAAGATAAGAAACTCTCGTTTTTTAATGTTTTTATCTGAGCCTATAACAAAAATTTAAGAAATACCTCTCATAGATCTCGGTAATTTATATGGGTACTGAAAATTTGATCGAAATCGGTTAATCCAGAGTCGAGCTACAGGTGTTGAAAGATTTAAAAAACTGCAGATTTCTTCCAGTTTTTGGTCAAAATCGTAATAAAACTGCAATTCTTGCCATCTTTAATTGGATATAACTCATAACAACGTTTTTTAAATTTCCGTTATAAGCTCAGATAAAAAAGTTAAAAAACGATAGTTTTTTAATCTTTTTTTGTTATTCCAAGTAATAGCAAAATTTAAAAAAAGTATTTTGGTCATCGTCTGGTAGACTAGCCCCGCTATCATCTAAAAAAAATTCAAATCTCTTAGTCCAGTTTTAAAAAAGTTATTGCGTTTTAAAAGGTGTACGAACACTTTTGTGAGCCACTGTACATATATACACAAACATATGTAAGGTCTCTAGGTCATACTGTCACACTGGCCACCGTCATCAAACAACTTTGGTCAGTGTGAAGTGTGAAGCAGTGTGAAATATTGACTGGTGTTGACATAAGTCATCAACAATATTATGAATCCGTCATATATAAATATTATTTTATTAACAAGTCATTGAGGTTAGAAATTAATGAAAAAATAATTTGATTATCAAACACTGATACTACAACAAAAAAGTAAAATATAATAACACCTTTTGATGTTTTTTAAATGGTTTCTAATTAGAATTTTATAAAATTTATCTTCGACCCTGACTAAAACATTTTCGATACACATATTTAACATGACTACTACACCTGTTGTCAATAATTGGACTTTAAATAAAACGCTTGGTTCAGGAGGATTTGGTATTGTTGAATTATGGTCACATGAAAATGGCAATAAACTTGGTATGTATGTTATTTTATGAATAAATAAAAACTTAAATAAAATATTTTATTTTATTACATGAAATGTTATAAATAATTATTATTATTTCTATCCTAAATTGTAGCAATTAAAAAATGTAAGTGGGATACTGTACAATTAACGGAAAGACAAATATTCAGATGGATTAATGAAGTTGAAATAATGAAACGCTTAAAGCATCCAAATATTGTAAAAGGTTTAGAACTACCATTTAAGTATCCTGATAAAAAAATAGATTTACCAATATTATGTATGGAATTCTGCA